GATTGTCAAACAATTTAATGACTCGGTAACCGTGGACATTAAGGATCTTTTGGGTGATATTCGTGAACATAAAGATAATGATGATCTCAGTACTCTACTTTCTGACAAAATGGAGGGATGCACAGAAAAGGTAGTAATATTCGTGCGGCCTAATTTCCACTTTGAATTTGATTTAAGGAGGAAATTTGTAGTCTCAATGCAGGAACGTTTTCTAAGAATGCTTAAAGATAAAAGATGGCACATATTCTGTGATGACTTTCATAGCTCTTTCGCACAAAAAATGTCGGAGAGCTACAATTCTAGGCCATCTACATGGATGCTGCCATCTTCGAGCACTGATTTCCTGTTTGATATGTTATCAACTAATGTCTGTGACATCGACCAGAAACCTAGTTCCCTGTGGATCAGTTGCGATTTGATGCAGACCGTTCAATTTGGCTTTTGGGGAAAATATCTATTGCACAAGGCTGAGGGAACATTCGATCGTGTTATTGACCTTTGTGTTAAACATAGAGACATCTCTCTCTCTGGAAACCTCAGGAATCACCATGGCATAGCCACCCTTCTAATGGACTTAATAGAGAAATTTCTCGATAAGAGTGGAGTAGATCATGTAAAATTACAGCAGATTCTACCACGCCAAGGTTTCAATCACTATATCCAAGGATTCATCACGAAACTGTATTGTGTCGTTGGGAAGGAATCAAATCTGGCGGAAGATAGGATGACTAAAATTGTTAGAAAGGAGTTGAAACTGATACATAGATCGTATGAAGCTGCTGCTCTTGATGATTGCAAACTTGCTGTTATTACAGTATATCTCCATATTTCTGATGACCTAACGCCAGCTGCAAGCAAACAATGGTTTGACGACATCAGGAGTACAGTGAACCTGGCAGCTGAATCAGAAGGGCTGAAAAACTTTGACATAACAGAAAATTTTGTTGATTATGTTAAATATGCTGTTTCGATAGAGTTCCCCTGTGCCGTTCTCATCATCGATTTGTCTTCTCCACAATCTAAAGACACAGCTCATTCATCTAACAGTTTGCAGCATTCCCTCATGAACATACTTGCTCATATTTATGTGGGGGTGTCCAGAGCCAGGGTTTATTGTTCTATCATATTGATATGTTCTGACGATGAACCTAATGAGCTGTACAAAGAGATACTGGATATCCTGAAGCCACATGTTAAGACTATTGAAGTTCGGCAAAGCAATATTATATCATCAACGCCTGTCCATTCTTTGTCGCACAATAGACATCGCAAGACTGACCTCGTTCCTTCTCGCTCCATTCCCACTTCTAAGAGTAAGACAGTTCTGATTCTATGTGACAGCAAAAATGATAGCTTTGACTGCTCACAGCTTTATGAGCCTATCATTGCTTACAAGCATACAGTCCTTTATCTGGAAGACCTCGACAGATATTCTCAAGAAGTCTACAAGGCGGATATAGTTCTCATTTCTGCTGGAATATATGACATTATAAGAAAGAGACTACGTGCTAGAAGGTTACATGATCATGTGAGAAACTTTATAGTGCGGTTTCCAAAAACTCGATTTATTTTTGAGTCTGTGACCACACTGACCAGCCTAAAGTGGAAAGGAAGCAATTCAAACTATTTAAATATTAACAAGACGATCGGCAGTTTCAATAAACTTATGTTGAAATGTTCACAGGATTATGACAATATCGAATTCTTTGACAACGTCAGGTTTAAACAAAGACATTTGTCTGCGGACGGTCTGTATCTTGACTACAGTGGTCAGGCAGAATTATCAAAATGCTGGATTCACTGCATTCTTCTTATGGAAGGAATTAGAGACGGGAGTTTACCTAGAATCTAGATACAAAGGTACTTCCAAAACATGACGTGTAACTGCAGACTGTGCTGAGGTCATGTTGCTTAATCTGGAAAGTGGACAGAAATCATGGGCTTCTGCACCAGCACAGACGGACTATTATTCGTTAAACGGATTTATATGAACTGAAGTGTCAATTATCTAATGTGAGAGAACACGTCACATAAGATACTCAAAAATCGCAAGATCGGAATCTATCTTATGTATAAATTGTATAAAATAATCGAGAAATATATTACCCAATGAGATGATCTCTCTCTCTCTCTCTCTCTCTCTCTCTCTCTCTCTCTCTCTCTCTCTCTCTCTCTCTCTCTCTCTCTCTCTCTTTCGACGAATTTTCAGTTACTTACTTTAAAATGTGTGGTTTATAGTAATTATCGGCTCTGAATTTAACAAGTTAACAGCTGTTTTTTACTTTCTTATACATATTTATTTAATTACATTGTGTTATTTATATATACATTGTGTGTTTATTAATTACATTGTGTTATTTAACATAAATTAAATGAATTTTTTACTTACAATTTAAGATTTATGATTATATTTTGTTTTTTGTACTTATTTTTCTTACTGCACTTCATTTTATGTCTAGATCTCTACCTTTCTAGGATATGTTTCTCTTTTTGGTTGATATGTCACTGTACTAACCTTTATTATACCTACATGTACTGTATGGTCTCTGCTTCTTTTTAGTTTGTGTGTGGTTTACAATAAAAGATGTTTTAATTTTGTCTTAGCCTTATACTGAGTTACCTTAATTCCCAAAAATTTGGGCGACAAAAAATTTGAGCGGGCCTCTCGCCCAAATTTGTTGCAGACCAAATTAATTGCATAAATCTTTTCCGTCTGCTAAATTTTTTGCTAACCAAACTTTTGGCATTTGGCCTGTGGCCCTGAAATCTATAGAAAAATGGCTTTTTCTTCATATCCAAGTGAAATAATATTTGAAATTTTAGTTTTCTAATCTGTCATTCATGGCTTGACCAAGTAAAAAGGCTTATATTTTAAATGAATAGAAATAACTGGAATAGCTAACAGCTACTAATGAAACAAATGGCTAGAGGTACGGATAGCTAGAGATTTAAACAAGATCTGCAAATGGATTATTATCCACCGTAAAGTCTGATCTACAAGCATCAGTTATACCTGACTTCTCAAAGCCTTTCCTTATGTCATCTGGCCTCCCTTTTAACAAAAAGTTCGTTGATCCAACGAGCGTGGACTTCACGGATCACTGTCAAGCGGGTATCAATTTTCACATTGTCTGATGAAACTCCTCCATTGAGCTGACACACTATGTTTTTCGCGTACCAATCTTCGTACTTATTGCGCAAGAATTTCTTAGCCAGTCCATTGATAGATATGTCCAGGGGCTGTAGATGATGGGTCATATTAGCTGGAACTTTCTGTAGGATGCAGTTGTTGGCTGTCATCAGATCTTTTAGTGTCTGTGTGTGTTGGGCCCGAAACACATCTGATATCAGTAGCGCTTTCTGCTCAGGGTTGTTGATGGAGGCTCGAACTGATTCTATGTGGGGAAGAAGGATTTTCTCAAAGAACTGGACACTGGTCAAACCTTTCGACCATCTGGCGAGGCGTCATAATGATAATTGTATGTGAAAGGGGTATGATAAGATATGCTGAGTGTAAGTAGACTAAACTATCTGATTGAGAGACTAAATATCACTATTGTATATCTATCATTTTGTACTGTGCCATCATCACTGTATTTTTTAGTAGTTACTGGGCAGATCGTAAATTTCATAATGTGAAACAACTCAGACTACCACCTACATGCTTAAAATTGCAAGCAAAATGACTGGAATAATAAGGAATAATAATGAACTAAGGCAAATATCTACTTGTTCTGAAATTTTAGTGGAAAATCGTTTATTTTTCGAAGAATTTGTGCCCAAATTTTCGGTCGCCCAAATGAGTTCAAATTTTCTGCCCAAACTTTTCGGGCTCAAATAAATTGTGCTCAATATAATGGCACACAAATTTTTGGGAACTAAGGTATACTCTTGTTCATTTTTACACATATACTCACATCACTCACAGTCAGCCGCTCTGACATGGTTAACCACCTTCCTTGTGTTGTTGGTTGATCATATGAGCGGAATATATAAATACCTCATTTCATTTCATTTCATTTCATTTTATTTCATTTCATTTCATTTTATTTCATTTCATTTCATTTCATTTCATTTCATTTCATTTCATTTCATTTCATTTCATTTCATTTCATTTCATTTCATTTCATATTAAACAACTTTTATATTGAACAACTTTTTTATATTAAACAACTTTTATTTCGATATTTTTTCAATTTGACGGGCATCTTTATTCTTTAATGCTATGTAGCAATAATTTTAAATTCAACGTGAAGATTATGATACAAGCTTATTATCTAAAACATTTATTTTCAAGAATACAATACTGTTACTTGTATACCCGAAATTGTATATTATACAATAATGTATAATAACTAGAAAGCCCGTGGTAACAGGTGAGGAAGCTAGTAGTATTCTTTGAAATAAAGTTTTAATCGCATACAAAATATCCATCCCAACCGAACGCGAAGATACAGCCGATTTAAATGTGAAACATTTTAAACACAAAATTGTAGACTTAACCAATAAATATGTGCCAAGGTTTCATCGGCAATTTAAACATGATATCCGAATAATTTTATTCTTCACTCAAGGTACTACAAAATTTGTAGATTTGTTTTAAATCGTCGAAAATGCAATCATATTTTATCTGCAGCAGCCATAATCACTCCAATATGATATCCAGCTTGACAGTGAATAGTAATGGGGCAGTCTCCGTGAATTTTGTGTTTAACGTGGATACTGATTACTGAATTATCAATTTACGTTTAAAAGCATGATAATAATGATGTTATATTATCTGGTTAGTATTATATGGTAAATACTTATGTTCGTTGAGACTGTTTTGGAACATTTTGAGTTTAATACACATAGTTTTACTTGAGCTACTTATTGAGCTATCGGGCAGAATCTTTCAAATATGTAAATAAGAAAAATTGAAACGAAATAAAGTAATTTACTTCTTCTTGGAATATGCGTCAAGGTTCATATTAATCCTGATGTTATAATACTCCAATACTTCACTCAAGGTTCATGACACAGCTTGACGATATCATCGAGGACCTGGATGCTCCAGTTGATGAACGTGACATAATAGAGCATGAAAGGTACTAGATCACAGATCATGTCGACCTGAAACTCAATATGTATTTTGGTTCACATTAAATTATGTTCAACTTATTCTAAGCTCATATCAATCAAATATTTGTATAAAATCTTCTTGATTTTTCACCATCATCATCAAAAATACTGTAGGTTGTACAACGAAGAACTGCAAAGTAAACCAGTAGTTTCGAGCCAGACACAGTTTGGATATGCTTATGTTTTGGTAAAATCACCGTACGACAATGATATTCGTAAAGGTAAGTCACCAAGTTGCCAGGTATTTAAAAAACTGTGTTTAGTGCTTGCTTTAAATTTTGACAGCTGAATACGTTCTGTGACATCTTGTTTCAATGAAAATTTATATATAAGATTATCAATTCATTTATTTCCATTCCCTTAAATCAACACCGATGTATTATGATATAGATAGTATTACATGCTAGTGACTAGTCATTAATACTTCAAAGAAATTCGATTTAAAATAAGATCTTCTAATTTAATCGATCAACGCTCAGGGATACGATTGTTAGAGGAACTGTGCCAAAGTGGAGTTGATCAAAGAGACTTTGTATATTATCTTGCAGTTGGGCATTACAGGTCTTATAAAACATGCAATATGATATGAAATATGATCCTCTTCAAAATTGTTTAATGAATAAGAAAACAAATAAACAAAATAAAACACGCTTCGAAATCAAAAATACACCAAAAAAAACATCTTAGAAGACATTCAAGCGAACTGAATAATATTGCTAAAAGGTGCTGATAGATAAGAACCTTACTAATATAACTTTTCTTTAAAACCGAAAACTGAAAAATGCAATTTTAGAAATGTTTGATATCTTGGTCTTCAATTTATAATATGACATATTTATTTAAACCCAACTCAGGCTGCACAATTACACTCCTGCCATGAAGTTTTGTCAGAGAGTGTTAGAAATGGAACCCGGAAACCAGCAGGCTACTCAGCTTCTGGAGATTATCAAAAAGAAGAGAAAGAAGGACGCTATGATTGGGGCTGCAGTTCTAGGTATGTAATAATTTGCCATGTACCGAGTAGAAACTTATATTAGTTGTGTGGCCAGATCCAGTATTTTACAATTTCATATTAGGCCATCATATATCCACTTCTAATTCTATTTAAAAAAGCTTTCCAATATTGATCGTTATGTAATGATGTCCACAGAGTTCTGGTAATTATCAATCATTATGTTCACAGTCGAATTATATATTTATTCCCTCTTTGCCTTGAAACTTGAAAATAACTGGTTTTCTAACGCCCCCTGGTACTACAGGTGGGGGAGCAGTGGCTCTGACAGGAGGACTGTTGGTTGCAGGGGCTGTGTTAGCTGCGGGGATAGCTGCAGTCAAACGCAGATGAGCTGTTGCATTCTTTGTCAGCATTCCGGGAACTTTACAAGTTATAATTTGGACTGTTGTTTATCTGAAACTGTGCTAGTGCTTTATTAAGAAAAACTTGATTTATGAACTTTTTATTACAGTTTGAGTAATGAGTATTCTGTTTAAATTTTGCTTTGAAGAAAATTTGATACAATTTCATTGCTATTTAATCTTGGTGAATTTAAGTTCAGATAGATAAATATACAGTACGGTTAGTTTTAGTGCAAAATAATTGTTAATTTTACCGCGATTTCACAAACCATCTAAAAAGTTTGTTCATAAAAAAGCATGCCTACCTCATTTGTGCTTGTTTCTTATTTGTTAACTTCCAACTACAATACAAACTATAATTTTTCACCTATAACTAATGTTAATGATTTTGATTCTCATACTTCATTTATTGCTTTTAATGTTTTGGCATCAAAGTTCGAAACATGCCATGGCTGGAACTAGTCTCTACTCCAACTAGGCAGTCTTTTGAGTATTGAAGAAAAAAACATGTCCTTCTGTTTATTATATCGATACTAATCGACTGTAGGAATAGATCAACATCTTGCATTGTCACTTCCCAAGAAGTTTAAACAATTTAATAAAAGGATGGCCTGTTCGAGTGATTTCGGTAGATGCTCTGGCGGCAACGTACAGAGTAGATTATCTACATCAGAACGCAAAAGAAGAAGCACAGCACTAATCTTCACTCTAGCTACTTTTAATGTCCTGGGTATTACTTCTCCAGTTAAACGGGATGAACTTTTGAGAGATTGCTATTATCGTAAAATAGACATTCTCGCTGTGCAAGAAACAAAATGTCGTCACTTTGAGGATTCAGTTTTGCATTTTACAGATGATGATGGGAAATCACACAAATATCGCTTCATAAACTTTCAGCAATTTGACAATAAGTGGCAAGCAGGTATTGGTTTTCTTGTAAATTCAGTCTATACCAACTACATCAAGTGTTACAACAGTATCAGTGACAGGGTTGCTTATCTAGATCTTGAGATACCAAGTAAATCAGGTAAACCAAGACTTTGCCGTGTTATCAATGCCTATGGACACACTCAAGTAAATTGTGATAAGTATCCGCAGAGACGTGATTATTTCTACAAGTTTCTTGGCAAAGCTGTTGATATCCCATCAAGTTGGGACTTATATATTCTTGGAGATTTCAACTCTCGACTCGGTAAATTGTCTCATTCAGATATTGTTTTCGGGTATAATGACTTTATGGGTATGTATGGGTCTGGAAAGAGGAATTCAAATGGAGAGCATCTTCTTAATTTTCTTGTTGATAAAAAACTTTTTGCTTGCAACACTAGCTTCCAGCACCCTGTCCGTCATATAACAACAAGAATTGGTTTTATGAAAGACTACTCAGCTCCTAAAAACTCACATCGCACTTTGCCCTACTACTCTCAAATTGACTATGTCCTATGTAGCAGTCGATTGAAGAAACTTTTAGTGAATTCTCGAAGTTATGGGGGTACTCTTGTTAAATCTGATCACAAAATTGTTATTACACGTTTCAACTTCAGTGACGCTCACCTTGTCTTCCCCAAACAGAAACCTAAAATGCATTTTGATATCACAACCCTTGTCAGTAATCCTGCTGCTAAAATGCATTACAACAACACATTGAATGATATTCTAACAGACAGCCCTGTTAATCCTAACCCTGAGGAAGAAATGAATAGTTTGTTTCACAATGTACATAAAGCTGCTGAGGTTAGTATTGGATACCTTCCTAGGAAACGCCCTAAAAACTTTTGTAATGACCTTGAAATTCGAGAGATGTCTGATGAAAAGAAAGTTCTACAAGCTCTACTCAATCAGAACAACACCTCTGAAGATAGATCAGTTATACGTACCAAAATCAATCGTATTCAAAATGACACTCGTAAGAGAATCAAGCTCCTTCAAGAAGAGCATGCAGACACTCTTGCTGAAGAGATAAACGAAACTGATAGTTCTAGAGCATACTTTGCAGCCACTCGCCAACTAGCAGGTATCAAACGTGCTCCAACCATAAGTGTGCATGATGAAAACTCTAACTTCATAGGTACAGACACTGGAAAAGCTGCTACACTAAAGAACCACTTTGAAGAGAAGTTCACTGCAAAACATACAGTTGAGCCTATTGACACTTTCTTTGATCAACCTAGTCCTCTCGCTGACCCTATTACTGCTATTGAAGTTGAGATAGCTGCTAAAGCTTTGAAGAATGGTAGAGCCACTGGGCCTGATGATATCCCAAGTGAATTGATTAAGTATGCAAACAGAAGTGTATTTCAGAAATATGCAGACTGTATAAATACCGCATTTGAAACAAACACCACCATAACATCTATTGGAAAAGGCAACATTACTCCACTCCAAAAGCCTAAGAAACCACTTGGTCCAGCAGCAAACATCAGACCTCTCACCCTCTCAAACTGCTCCAGAAAATTACTGTCAATGATTACCCTAAAACGTATCCAAGGCAAGCTAGATCAGTACACCGGTCCTACACAAAGTGCTTACAAGAGAGGTAGAAGTTGTGGCGATATAATTTGGTCTCAACGTATGCTAACCTCAGTGGTACTTAGAAAGCATTGGAGCTACCACAGAATGAGTATAGACATGTCAAGTGCCTTTGACACCATCAGCAGAGAAACAGTACTCAATGTTCTTGAAGATGCTGGCTGTACTAGTGATGAAATTAGGATGGTACGGCTCCTACTATCAAACACAGTGTTGAAAGTAAAAGTCAATAATACTGTATCAATTGAGTTCCAAAGCACAACTGGAGCATTTCAAGGAGATGCACTATCAGGTAATCTATTTACTGTTGTTGAAGCCGCTGCACTTATTCACCTCAGATCTGTACTCTCCCAAGTATCATCAACACCTTACCCAGTGAATCATCCAATCCCTAATCCTCCTATCTCAGAAGAATTCATGCCACTCGAAACAGGATACTCTGATGATATTGACTTTAATAACACTGAACTTGCTCCACTCAAAGAAATGCTTCCTATCGCTAAAGATATATTCCAGCAGTGGGACCTTCATATCAATTCTTCCAAGACTGAATTTGTCCATTTTTATTTAGCAGATCCTAAACCCACTGTTAAACGCAAGGTGATTGTTGGAAAAGTGTATAGAGGTGATGAAGAGTGGCGCTCTAACAAAACTTTAGGATCGTTGATGTGCACTGTTAAGGATATCAAGAATCGAATATTCCTTGGTAATGTTGCCTTTAGTAAATTTCAGAAAGTTTGGATGAAGAGCAAGATTTCAGTCCAAAGGAAGATCAAAATCTACGAGGCACAAGTAGTCTCTATTCTACTCTACAACTGCAACTCCTGGGCTGCACCACTAGCTACGTTGAATGAACTTGATATTGCTCATCGCAAACACCTCCGAAGAATCCTCAACATCAGATGGCACCAGTGGCAAATAGTCAGGCGTCCAGGAATTTAACACCTAGTCAAAATTTGTTGATAACCGGTAAAAAAAGATTCTTGTGGAAAAAATATTCACATTAATTTAAAATTAAATCAAAATTGGTCGCTCTCAGGGCTAACGCGATGTTACATCATTTTATCGACTCGAAGTTCGAATCGAGCGCATTCCTAGATTCCATGACTATTTCTTACCTATAAGATTGCTTGACTATTTTTTGCGCATTCAGACACCAAAAAACGCGCAGAAAACGCGAGCTATCCATTCCTCCTTCCTCAACATCCCGGAATATGAAAAAATAGTCATGTAAAATAGTCATTTGAAATAGTCATGCAAAATTTCAGCTCTGATACGCTAAAATATCAAGTTAATCTTAAACAATCGACAATCTAATATGAATCCTCCCAATCCTCCCAGCCATATTAACTGGTGAACGGTGTAAATATAGAGCGGCATTTTAAAATGTAGCATTCAAAATTTTATGGATTCAAGTTGGCTCCTTTAGTCTAGATTCATTTAGAAAATTCTCGAAGTTCGAGTAATACAGTATTCTCAGGGTTTGGCGCTTAAGGAAGCTTCACATCCGATACCGATTTCCACGAATCAATTTAATATTGTAGCTACAAGTCAACAACAGTGCAAGTGGGAAGGAAGTGAATCTAGCCATTGCTACTATATCAGGGGAACTCGTGTGTTCTAGGCTTAAGCAAGTTTCACATCCTAGATTATCTAGAGTACAGTGCAGACAACCCCCTCCATTATACATCCCTATCCCGCTTTAAGTCCGAAGTTTATCATTGTTTATTGTCCAATATTGTATCTAACCTGGCAGAAGCAAGCTTCAGATCCAAAGTCAGGCCATAAATATCGACACAAGATCGAAGCCACTTTCAGAGTAGCGAATCGCTCATAATGCTGATGAGAGCTAATTCTTAGAACTCGATCTACCGAGTTAGTATGAAAAATAGTAAGGAAATGTCTGTGGGCTAGGGTGTATAGTTCTTTTAAAAAATATTTCCTTGCGTTTCAAATAAATTAAAGAATTCTCAGAAATTTTTTATTTAATTTCAAAATTTGCAATTGCATACTCATCCGGTAATTATTCTAATGGATACGCTAAGCATTTCAAACTAATCTTGACCTGGGAGAAGAGCTGACCAGTGACAAGTCGGCCGCAAAGCGGCCGAAAAATATATAGCCTTTTTTTCTTCCCAAAATGGATTCCTAGTCATATTTAAAATTTATTCCACTGGGACTGATGGCCTACTGGGGTTATTTCTAATGAGGCACTCTATGCTCGTTGTTATGTCACTCCCTTGTCTGTGAGGGTCTCTAAGTTTCGATGGAGAATGTTAGGACATATCTTAAGAGGACAGGAAGACTCACCAGCATACACCTCTATGTTATTTGCTATAAATTCTGATATTTTTATGGAAGGGAGACGGGGTAGACCATGTTTAAACTTATTAGATGTTATTAGAAAAGACTTGACTAGTAGAAATCTTGATATTAGACTTAAGAATTTGACTGATTTCGAAGACCTTAGATTTTTAGCTTTAGATAGGGAGGAGTGGAAGAAGTTAGAAGATGGTTGATGTTTTTGTTTTCTTTTTTATGCGTTTTGATATCTATAAGGTGCCTAGGATGCTCTTTTAAAGAGATATTTCGTACTTTGAAAGATTTACTACTACTAATAAAATTAAACTGTTGTTCCCTCTGTGTTATACAGGGTGTACTATCTTTACTCAGTTATTTATTATTATTAATATGCTATATTCACAATAATCATACCCCCAGTAAGGTAATAGGATGTGTTGAAGCTCATTACAGAAATGTTTTGCTGTTTACAAGAAAAAGGAGTCCCCTGTACTAATGCTGCTACTGTAAACGTGTAAGTTTTCTAATTCATTGTTAGATTTTTATAGATGTGGTATATGTTTTGACACGTGACAGTGATCCCGGGGGTGTGATCGGTCAATAGTTAATGCTGATTGGTTGATTTCTGTAACGTGTCGAATAAAAATACCTCTCCACCAGAATCCACAGATCTTTATTTGCTTTTGTGAATAGCTTCGATTAAGTTTACTCATGATTTTGAGACATCAGTTCCCATTTTTGTATATTCGCCTTGATAAAATGTTATGAATAATTTTAATATTAATTTTATAATTTTAATATTATCACCGTAACCACAGTAAAACAGGCAAATATAGTTTGACCATGTAGTTAAAAGTTGTTGGCCATATCCAATCATTATACACCGGATTTACCATTTATGGGTAAATAAATCATTGTCTTCGCAACCCCATAACTTTAAAACCATGCTCGGTTTACGTGCTACAAACTGTCCCGTCTATATAATATGATATAATAACTATGTTATTTAAATTATAACTAATATATTTTAATATAACTACTATAATCACCCCTCAGGACGAGCAAGAAACTGAACAAAGCCCTCGGACAGAACGATCACGGGCTCAGCTTGAACCCAACCCTCCACCACTCCTCCATCTGTGTTAAACACAAGGTTATCTTTAGTTCACTGAAACATTCATTCTTTATTATCTCATCGATACTTTAACTTTCCAGCTCATACATTTTATAATTCAGATGCCCTCTTTTATTTTGATTGATTGGCTTAAACTATGGCGGGTTAAAAAGCATAGGGGTTAAATCTTTATACCATATTGGGATGTGTGGACTCACCGTCGTCTAGAAATCTGCTGATTGACCACTTACTCTAACTGACAATTCTAATTCCAACTCCACAGGAACTGTTACAATCGTCGAGACCCACACGTCGGAAGAGGCGCGCGCCATCTGACATCAACCCGCCAGTGCAGGTGGTACACCACCAGCCACCACCCTCACCGGTAGACGAGACTAACATCATGGACAATCTGGAGCTGGAACTGGGTCATTTGCCCCTTTTAACTCTGAGAAAGTGCAGGAAATATTTCAAACTCCAGGTATGGCTGCCTCCTCCTCTGCTGATTCTTTCTGATTTGCTTATTTTTGTCTGTCTTTACAAAATATGTAAATATTTAATACGATTTTAATGGTTATTTGTTTTGTGGTTATTTGCTTTCTACCAACTTTTACGATTGTCTGGGATTTCCAAAAAAGCAGTGGTAATAGTTGCGCTAAAGTCTTCATTCTTCGTAATTTTGCTATTCGTTTATTCGTCTTCAAAACCTCTGCTATTATCCATGATACAATTCAACGAGAACCCTTGCTGTCTAATCAAAAGATTAAACCACATTCTTTGCATACCACATTAATATGAGGCTGTTTCCATGACAACAGTTACCATGACTGTGCTGTTTCCATGGCAACAATTACCACGACTGTGCTGTTTCCATGACAACAGTTACCATGACTGCTGTTTTCTTATCTGTCCGCTGATTAAATAACAATTGTCGTTTCTATTAGATCTCACAGGTAAAGACCGGTACAAACAGACAACAGCTTGCAGAGACCATTATCAAACATTTTAGGAACATGCCCGTAAAGGAGAAGGAGGTTTGTGTTTTCCTTTTTTCCCTCAGTTATTAATTTTGATTAGCATATTTTTTAAATCTAAACGAGTAAAAATTTGGAATAGAGTGGAATACAGCTTTTTTAGTAAGACTAGCAGGGTACCCGTCCTCCGGACGACAATAATTCTTTGCTTTTACATAATTTTATTGATACCAAGTTTTCATTTTCTACTTTTTTCGGGTCAAATTTAAAGAAAGGATTCCCAAATGTTGAAATTTCAAATAAAACAAATTTTAAATCTAAAACAAATTTATTGCAAATAACAATCAATCCAATTCCAAATCAAATTGATAAAAACGAAATCTCTACATTACAATATTATTTGTCCAAAACCTCTAGATAGACAACATTATAAGTTCTCCCAATGACCAACGACAAAACTCTGAGGGCGTCCTTTCCCCAACCCTGCTTTGTGCCACATAGAATTTGCCATGAGAAAAGAATGGCCGGCCCAAGAAGGTGGTGTCAGTAAAATGGCGACATATATTATATTACCTATGTAATATATCGTCTCGCTTTATAGATAGTAAGATATGACTGGAGTAGAATTTTTATCGTTCTGGAGAATAAAACTGTGAACCATAACCGAACTCTTATCAATCATATAGTAAGAGTCGCTGCAGTTTCTATAGTATCATCAGTTAAAGCAACTAATACAATGATAATAATAATACTTTAATCTCTCTTTGATTTGCATAAATTATTGAGATTCGATAAAACTTATACAATCTAGACTGTCAGAATTAAGCGTTTTCAGTTCAAACCTTTACAACCGTCAAAGTAAAATCATTACAATAATGTCCATCCAGGTGATAGACAATTTTATGAAAGCAGTTGCCAAGAGACGACGAGAAAACGAGGATACCAAAGACAACAACAACAACAACAACAACGAGAGTTTCAGCTAGCACACACGAACACATAGACAAACTCACAGCCTCTCAGCGATCACGTGATCAGTGTCACGTGATTAGTGCGGCACGTGATGTTTGACAGATTTATTTGTTAACAGCTTTCTATTTCTCCCTCTCTCTCCTCCCTCTCCTCCCTCTGGTTGGAATGTATCACATCTCATTAGCTTGAGAATTGAGTTGAGCTCATCGATTGGACCAGAATATTTAGGTGGTGTAACGGTGGGGACTGGGGAGGTACTCCACATTTTCGCCACAAAAACTAAAGTGATTCTTCCGAAACATTACTAAATTAGTATTTTATTAACAAGCATTTTTAGAGCAATGCCGCAAACATTGGGCACTCCTGATGCTCTGATGAGCTAGATTTCTTATCCGAAAATATTGATCACCTCCATGCAATTACCTGCTCCTAATTGATACAGATGTCATAATTTCATGATTAAGTGATATCTATGCCAAATAAGTATTCTGAATTCAAGATAATTTTAGCGCAGCAGTGCCAATATTTAGAACTCTGTATTAAGCTCCGTAGATTTAAGAACGATATGATATGTACACAGTTACAGGAGCAACATTACACCGGATCAATTCTGAATTTATCGCAGATTTCTTCCCTTGAGGATCGTTCACATATTTTTTACTCCCCCTCCGTAAACCACTTTACACATAGTTGTTGTTTAGAAAGTGCACCCCTTTCCTAGGCAGGTCACGTGATCTCTCAGTACACTATACCCCTCTCCTAGGTAGGTCACGTGATCTCTCAGTACACTAGACCCCTCTCCTAGGCAGGTCACGTGATCTCTCAGTACACTAGACACCTCTCCTAGGCAGGTCACGTGATCTCTCAGTACACTAGACCCCTCTCCTAGACTGGTCACGTGATCTCTCAGTACACTAGACCTCTCTCCTAGGCAGGTCACGTGATTTCTCAGTACACTAGACCCCTCTCCTAGGCAGGTCACGTGATCTCTCAGTACACTAGACCTCTCTCCTAGGCAGGTCACGTGATCTCTCAGTACACTACACCCCTCTCCTAGGCAGGTCACGTGATCTCTCAGTACACTACACCCCTCTCCTAGGCAGGTCACGTGATCTCTCAGTACACTAGACCCCTCTCCTAGGTAGGTCACGTGATCTCTCAGTACACTAGACACCTCTCTCCTAGGCAGGTCACGTGATCTCTCAGTACACTACACCCCTCTCCTAGGCAGGTCACGTGATCTCTCAGTACACTACACCCCTCTCCTAGGCAGGTCACGTGATCTCTCAGTACACTACACCCCTCTCCTAGGCAGGTCACGTGATCTCTCAGTACACTAGACCCCTCTCCTAGGCAGGTCACGTGATCTCTCAGTACACTAGACCCCTCTCCTAGACTGGTTTACGTAATATGTGAACGATCCTATTGGAAAACTATCGAATACACATAGTAGTAACTCAGTAAGATCCCTCCTGGCAAGCCAGGAGGGTACGGACCCCAATATGCGGTAGGGTCGCAGAATCGGGGTGCCACAGTTTGTGCAGTCCCAATAGTCGACCATGAGAACTGTAGAAACATAAGCTTTGCTTCCTCTAGGAGTTGATATACGTCCTAATACACACATATTGTTTAAGCAGGGTTTTAAGCCACGTTATTCCCAACTGCCACTTATTTGAGAAATGTGGGGCTTTTCGCCATAATCTATAGATTTTTTCGCTAATGTCTTCGCTCATGGTGAAAATGGCGGTTTTTGAAAATTGACGATTTTCCAGTTACTCAAAAAAAATTTAAATCGATGCCAAAATAAGTGATGGCGACCCCAAAAGTTTAAGGCATGCTTATATTTTTAGATGGAATGTGAATTGATGTTCGATATTATCTAATTTTTTATAGCCAGATTTTATGTGCGGCAAGTTAAAAAGTCTTCACTATTCTGCTAGCTTTAATTCCAAACCTATCCATATTTTCGTTCTTAAACAAGTTTTGAAGATGAAAAGTCTTCATAACGATTTTGTCTTAAATATACTCGGCCAGTCTTCATAATTTAACGTAGCTTAATATTTTTCACGATATAAATTTTCCTTTATTTTTGTTTTATAGTTGCAAAGCAATGACATCACGCTTAAATACACTCATTTAATCTTTTGGCCCTTATTAAGTGGCTGAATGTTTTCGTTGAGTTTGGAGTATTCAAGCGAATAAAGACGAATATTCACATTTAATGGTGTATAATAAAGTAGTATGTATTTGTAATATACCCATATTATTTTAAACAGTTATTAAATAAAATGTTTCATTTCTATCTTATCTATACTATAATTTAAACTTGACGAAATTTCCCCGGCAACGGGGACATAGAAGAAAAACACCGAAAATCGACCTCAAAATGACCCTCTGGTGAAATCAAACCCAGCTCGCAAATGGAGTTGAAACCTCGCCATTTTTAGCAGGGTTGTAGAAAAAGAATAGGAATAGGCTATAGCATTCTTAGAATTTTGATTTAGGCTTTAGATTTTTTATAATTAACGTCGGAAGTGAGGTAAAATAACCGTTAGAATAATGTCGTTATTTTAGCAAAGGTTTACTGCGCTGTTGCGTAGCAACGTTAAAATGCACGTGCGCGAGCAAGAACATCTTAACTACGCGCGTTGTTATGCTGTATGCTACGTCATAATTTCAAAACTAGCTCACATTTACGCTCACGCTATGACTTATATTCATAACTTTGGTTGTGATTGGTATTTTTTGATGCGGTAAAAAGTATCGTTTTGGGAATCCGAATACTAACAACGCTGTCGCCATTGTTAGATAAATTCCATTATGTCTACAGTATAACAGAGCTATATGATGAAGAGAAATTAAAACATAACTGATTTTTAAAATTTCCTCGAACAAAGCTTTCGACTAGCGGGTTTCTAGTATATTATATAATATAACTTTAGGAGGCAATCCATATTAAAACTCAAAATTTAGTGACAAATTATCAAATGAATTATCACTGTGTTAAGATAATATCGATTCCTGTGACAGAGCGAAACAAAAACTAATTACCCATCCAGTAAACTTAGTTGCCACTGTTTTTACTAATACTTGCGCATCGCATCATGTCTTGTGAGCGCTACATCATGGTCCATGTCACACTGGCAAATATTTTCCCGCTTTTCCATCCGTTTTATTTCGTCGCGAGCGCCATTTTGTTGAAGTTACCGCGCAACACGCGATTATATTCTGCGGTAGTTTGGATTTCTTCAGTGTGAAAACAACTTTTGGTGTTGGTGATTCTGGTATTACCCAACGAACGTCCGGTATGTATTTCCAGTGTTAGTGAATTAAATTCAGCATGTATTGACTTTGTTTACTGCATCAACAAACTAAGTCTGTTATATTTGTTTAGTAAACTGAAAAGAACGAAAAGAAACATTCTCATTACGGGCACGATTTAATGGAATATGAAAAACACAGTCTGAATATAACTTGCTATCTACCGCAGCAGCCCTCCGCCTCAAACCCAAAACGAGGAGCAACATTAATATGGTATCGAAATATGATCCAAATGAAACTGTTAAATCATTGGTCAACTCGCTTCGAATATTCCAGTGAACATTTTAAAAAGGAGTTTTCTCGATTTCAGTCTTGACCCATGTCATGTGGGGTTTATATGTAGGTAATTTGGGGGGAAGGGCTGCTCCATTCTACATTCTATTCAGTTTAACGGGGTCATACACGTTACTAAAACTAACATTGACACCATCAACTAATCTTCTGGAACATATATAAGTTAATACAGTATCAAAATTGAAGGTCGCGTAAAAAGCAGTTACACATAAGTAAACGGTAGAAAGAAGAAACTGTTCGCTTCAATCAATCAATATGGACATCACGAAAAAAGTATGTTTCATTTAAGCTATTAACTTTATGTATACAGGTAAAAATCAATTCATAAATATTAGTTTAACTAGACATATAAACTTTTAAATCATGCGACCGTGAGATTGTGTGAAATTAAAACAATTAAGGTCGAAAATAAAAGGATATTACATTAATCAAAAGACAGCTTTTTTTTACAGTTGATCACTGGAATTAATTCAAGGCTCTTTTAAAACTGAGATGAGTATGATAGGAGTTATAATTCTCCTATTTTAGATCACCATTCTCCAGCTCCGTTTGTCCTGTACTGTAGTACAGCTTCCAGAACTCCCTGGAGATATCCCCTACTATAGACCTGAAACGGAATAATTTGTTAAATTACTTCGCTTTAAAGTAAAGTCAGTAATCAAAAATGAAATAAATTGAATGTTCCCGCGACATCAATCCTACAATGCGCTACAAAATAACAGTAATTCGTTTAAAAGCGATAATAACGAGTTAAATAATCAGGCAAAACAACAACCAAGCCAACCTGTCAGGAATTTGAGCGGCCATTCCGTACATAGCAGCCGCCCCACTAGCAGCAGCTCCTGGGTTCAGCATCTGTACCGCTGCACTCTCTCTGATATCCGAGAGTAGCTCGTCTATCACTCCGGGCGACATGTGCCTTCTTGTCAGGGCTATGTGGATACCTGAAATGAGGTAGGATTTTGGTTAAACTACATAACAGTACGATCTTGAAGTCTGCAAACAGTGAATCCATATAACGTTCGGTTTGCAGTAGATTTTTCAAAACAATTCGTAATCCAATGTAATTTATAATGACATATAACATAGAAGGTAGCATACAAAATAAAATGACAAAACTGTACCTGCTGGAAACTGTAGAACAGCCAAATTCCAGCCCTTTTTAGTGAGATCAGATGACATATTGTAGATATTAAACACTTTGCTAGTCCAGCCGACACAGGACACAACGGGATTTCCCATCACCTCCACACCCTCAATCTTCTCCAGCCCAGCTATAAGGTACCGTGCTCCTCGGATAACCTCCCGGGTTGCCGAAACGTAACCTGAACATGTTCATACTGAGAACTTTTGATAATTAGATTGTGTTAAGAATATTTACCATTGGCAGGAAATAATTTAAACCTTTATCAAAGTTTATCAGTATTACAATTAATTTGTTTTCAAGGAACCCACCATCCCTCCCAAAGCTCATCATAGCAGCCCACGTGACGGCTATGTTAGCCCCAGGGCGACTGCCCGCCATAGTGGGGGAAGCGTAGATACCACCCGGCCACTCAGTTGTACACGTGATTTGGTGGTAGAACAACTCCACATTCCTGGAAAGTGGGGGAAATTGTAGAGGTATTTACGGAACTAAAATCTCACAATATTCTAAAATTTGTTGGCAGTAATACACAAGTTCGACATTATTACTGGCCTTAAATTATCCAAATCAATTACAATTGCCAATATCTTAATTAACGTTAATATCAGTACCTATATAAAACAACAGATGACCCTTTGTAAGTATATCCATATTTATGAGTATCTATAGAGATAGCAGTTACACCAGGAACTCTAAAATCGAAGAGAGGGAGAGGGAAGCCAGCGTCCTCCATAAAGGGAATAAGGAATCCTCCAAGACACGCGTCCACGTGTAGTCCTACGTCATGCCTGAAATTAGAGGAATGGGTGATCTAAATACTCAAGAGGTGATTTCAAACATATTAGTAGTTAGTAAGTTAGTCATCAAAAGGAATTCACTGTAATTTAAATCATATCAAACATCGGGCTATTCTTAAATAAGGAAGTTATTCCCACCCCCCCCCCCCCCCCCACTCTGCCAATTAAAGCCCCCACTCTGGTCTAATAATGTTACCTGACAGCGATGTCACCGAGAGCCACAATGTCGTCCATGATCCCGTGGGGGTACTGAGGCACACTCCCCACGATACAGATTGTGTTACTATTTATAGCCGCTGCTACGTCACGTGGGTTCACTGCAAACGTCACGGGATCCACCTGATTTTGAGGAGAGTTAAATTTTCAAGAAATCTGAAATCTTTAAAATAAAATCGTCCAACATGGACTTAATCAGATTTTTTGGAAGCCGACATTTTTTATCTTTGACCTTTATCAAAGCTACGATTTTTAAAACCGTAGTCTGCTTTTACTGCACGAATTTTCGTTTAGTACAATATAAATGGGTTGTTTTTTTTAAAGGAAATTCAAGATTAAATGAAAATTATTCGATTTAAGCAATTTCCTCTTAAACAAAATCTGTGAATCATTTTATCTTTAACTCGAGAATAAAACAATATGCCTATCTTTATAATCATACAAATGCATCTCTACAAATATGTCCCCAATCTTTTTGTAAAAAATCTAAAAAGTATAAAACACATAAACAATCAAAAAGTAAATAAACCAAAATCAAACTAGCGTTCTAAGCAAAATTGCGCGGGAAACTGTTAACTTTACAGACAGTTAACATAATAAGAGCACATCTTCAAGCTACTGACACCCTCTGACAAATCAGTAGACAACCATGTCTTATCTTTGTTAACAAACACCTGGTCCTTGTAATGAACATTCCCCGCAAAATGTCCGGATCTAATGGAAACAGAAACCCAGCCCAATAACCACCTGTCATCCCCATCTATGTAAAGAACCACACACTTCACCCCTTTTCCAATACTCGACATTCGGAGACGTTTCTTGAAAATAAAGAGGTTTTTGGAATCTCTCTCGTTGTCGTCCCTGCTCTTAATGTTCAGGGGACCCAGGTTTGTCCACTCTCCACTGTCGTTTTCTACCCACATTGTTACAATATCATCTGTACCGGCGTACTTTTCATCGCCAGTTCGTACGTTAACTCTGTACTGGACAGCACTGCATAGAACAGACAGCAATATAGCCGGAATAAGGAGGAGCAACATCTTTCGATCTTTAGATAAAAGTTGTACAGCTACCGAGTTAAGATATAAATATAGAATTAAGGTTGGTTGGCTGATTACGATATGATTACAACATAAACAACAAATAATTTAGATAAGTAAAATTAACCAACGATCAGACAACATAAGTGACAAACCTAATCTATGTCTGAATAGAATTTAAATGAAACGAATATTTTACAACAAATAAGTCTATAAATATTAAGTAACTCTGGTAACTCGGACGCAGGTTACTGGATGAGGAGAGGGTATCACAATAATCTTCTTCAGATGAGAATTTTCCCGGAATCTTACCTGGTTAACCGGTATTTTTCCGTTAATTTATGTCCGTATGTGGTACTTCAGATTTATCAATATCATCAGACGCCGCTTTATCAGGTTAATTAGACAATCTAAACGCGCAGTAAATGATTCAAACAACAACGGACACTAGTTTAAATTGCACTGGGCTAAAACCACGTACTCACTCACCACGTACACTAAGAACGGAGTTTAGTCATTTTCCGGCACGAGATTGGGGACGGGTTCTATAAACAAACAAATAAACCACGTACTCACGGCACACTACCTGATAAACGCGCATTTCACTGCCACAAACCGCTTAACATTTCTCCCACTTAACATTTCTCCCATTTAACTATAAAAATTTGCGACAACATAAAATTATAAACCAGTCTGTAGTCTGTACTGTACGCAGTACGGGTACAGGGTTTCCATACCCTAGTGACCCAAAACAAGATTGAAGTGCTCTGTCTATCTTTTAAGATTATGACAATTTAGAACTTAGTAATTTTAATATACATTATACATTATACAAGTATGTTTTGTCTGTCCCGATGGCGATTAACTTTAAAGCGTGTGACAAAGCAAATTTGCATCGATTTTGATATTAACGGTAGTTTTAGTGTGCCCTCAGGGGATTTAATATTTATTCTATATAATTAATATTTAATTATGATTATTTATTTCGGTATATGACTTGCCTCCACCGTGGGGTTTCACAACAACAACAACAACAACAACAACAACAACAACAACAACAACAACAACAACAACAACACCAACAACAACAACAACAACAACAACAACAACAACAACAACAACACCAACAACAACAACAACAACAACAACAACAACAACAACAACATACCCAATATCATTAGATATTCTTAACAGTGTGTTACAATATTGGACTCCTCATTGCTACCTCGTACTGTATGAGGTATGAAGAATGCACAGCAGTGAACCAGGACTGAAGTGGTCTAAGTGTCTAACGTGATTAACCTCTCATTACGATTACCAGATTCTAATCTAGATAAGGAAAGGCCTGGATCTCCATACTATACGGGTTTACCACCAATCTCTGAATCTCTAAACCGATAAAAATGCTGCGAAAAAATCAAATCACGTAACAGGCTCTTAGGCTCTAATCTTGGTCCCTGTTTTAGTCCTGGTCGCGGTAAAAGTTCTGGTTTTACGTCCGTGTATGTCCGCCTGTCTCATAGAATCCAAAAATGACAGGACAGGACATAGGCGGACATAGGCGGAAATTATGAAATGCGTCGAGCCAAAAACCGTTTTTCGGCCATATTTCCGAAAATAAGCATTTTAAGGCATATATTGCTTCATAAGTTGTACATAAATATGGCTATTAGGCACATTGGGCGGGGGGGGGGGGGGGGCCAATAGCATAAAATGGAGACTTTTTCTGTGGAGAAAATGGATAAACCCTTGGGTAATTCTCCATTTTATGCCATGAATTTTGATCATCGAATTACGTATGTGGCAGCTTTCTTGGACACTCTAACATGTTTATTTTCGCATACCATGCTACTCAAAGCTCATACCAAGCAACTAGAGGCTCATACCAGGCTACTACAGACACACACCTGGCTACTAGAGGCTAAGATCAATGAGACTATTTTGCAATTCAAATTCCACTCAATTTCACTCTGATACTCTGATAGTGATACAATTTAGAAATCGATCGGATATCCGGCTATAGTAAGTAGGTGCTTGGCCGAATATCAATCAGAAATTTCATTAATTTTCAGGAAAATTATCGAGGGCTAGGTCCCGAAAAATATTTTCCGCTCCTATTATGATCAGAGTAACATGAACACTGGAGAAACGGTTTTCAGGAAAACTTTAAAATTTTGACTTGGACAATTTTCGGTCCGAGTCATCCTTTATACATACCTCTGAAGGCAGAGCTCCCGCTTCCGAAAACGCCCATATTGCATTTATTACAAAAATGCAATAGTGGCCAAATGTTTTAAGCATCATCTAGAGAGGTGCTAACCGTCGAGAAATCGCTTTTAACACGAAAAGCTAACGAGATGGCTCATGGCCTTTTAGAACAGTTGATATCCGACTAGATGAACCAAATGCTACCCAGGCTAAGATAATACACAAATATCCGGGTCTCGATAACAATATGAAGGATATAATGATCTGAAACAATATGAGATTGTTAATTATAAATTAGACGTCACTACTCAAAACAGTAGACTTTCGTCCCGGTTAAAAAGAGTTGTGTAATATGAAAAGATGATGAATTCAAGTTATGAGGTGAGTTTTGGCATCCGGAGAGGATTTAAATTTTAGATAACCAATATTATTGCGTTATATCTTTTTAATCTATTATCAGATGCCAGAAAATATGTCATCCAAAGTCCATACTCCCGAAACAAGGGTTTAATACTCAACATCTAGGAGTCAACGAGCTAAAACCCGTTACCATCAGATAATACAGAGATTTTGACCATTTTTAATGGCAATTTGGCAAAGTTTTCACGTATACATCCGTGAAAACTATAACATCAACCTGGGGCGTAATGTCGAGGAAATTTAAACTTAATTAATTACAAAATGTTAAAAATGTAACTTACCGGTACAGCAATGATATGGATTTTGAAGTAAGCGGCCGCTTTATCGAATGCAGGGTGACCGCTGTTGGCAACAACGATGTTTGGTTTGTCTATACCCTTGACTTCTCGAGCCCAATCTCTGTGCGTCTTCATTGACATGAGAATAGACTCGGTTCCTGGAGAAATAAAGAATGTCACAGACCAATCAACGAAATCTGACAAATCTATTAGTAACGTTGAGTGATTGCAATGTGGAATTGATGCAAGTATAGAGCTACCCCATTGATTGCAAGAAAGAATGTGTACGCCAACCTTTCAGTCCATGATATCGATCATATCCTTTTAACTTAGTCTTTAACTTAGTCTTTTAACTTAGTCTTTTAACTTAGTGTTTAAGGGTTTAGGGTGTTCAGCTCGACAAAATACCGATGAAAAATATTTCGTAGGCCCTAAAATGACTCCTCCAGATCCAGTCCTAACCTTCAATTAACCTTCAATTAGGCTTAACTCACTAGCTGAAGTAGCTCTGATACGTCCGAGTAGAACCTAGAAGACTGGCCTCCAGCTCGCCATTTTTGAGATTCAAGCAAATCGAGGACGTTCAAAGGGTGCAGGATGTTCAGCTCGACAAAATACCGGTGGACAATATTTCGTCGGCCCTAAAATGACTCCTCTAGATCCAGTCTTAACCTTCAATTAGACACAACTCACTAGCTGAAGGTAGCTCTGATACGTCCGATTAGAACCTGTAAGACTGGCCTCGAGCTCGCCATTTTTGAGGTTCAAGCAAATCGAGGACGTTCAAAAATCAAAGGGGTCGTTCACATATTACGTGATCACCTTTTGGAAAATTTTTACATTCTATCGGTTTCTTGCGGTTACGAAAATAAAATATCTAAAAATAGTATCTTGAACAAGTTCGAAAAGTACGTACCACCACTTGTGACACTACCACTCGCTTGTCCAGGGTGGTGGAACATTTTCCCCACCATTGTTACCACTTCCGCCTCCATCTTACGTACATCCTTAAAACAGTCAACATGGAGCGGATTTGACCAGCAGTACTTCTTGTAAACCTAAACGGAGTTCCATTTACATCTCATGTAAACACGGGTAAAACTGAACAATTACAATTTTAGTTACACAATCTTTGTTCTTCTCACCAGAAAATAAAAGGAAAAATGTTCAAAACACGACAAATTGACATTAATAATTTTATATATGTTCAAAAAAGGAATCTTAAGAATAATCGTACCTCACTGAGCATCTCGTTTTTGTCCTCCTCAGCGCAGTATATAGTCCCAGAGCACCTGCCTTTCTGCCACTCCACATCGTTCAGGGAGTTGTACTTGTCAATCACAACCATAAGGTCTTTGTCAGACAAGCCTTTTTCTGGTAACCTTGTAAGGTAAGTGTGTCCTGAAGGTTATGTTAGGTTAAACCTGTTTAGACTTGATTTTCTGAAACTTTTGACCGGTGACAATAAATTATGACCTTCATTTTGGTAAATTGCTCTTCAGAATTCAGTGCGCAAAAGAAGAAGGCGTTAGGAGCCACTTATAATATCAAAAACTTTAGGTACAAGTTTTGCTTGTACATTATTAACAAACGTATTTTAGACTTATTGAGCCTAAAAAATATGGCAAAAGTCTTAAAATTTTCGATGATCTAAACTTTGTTATCTCAAAAGTACAGTATTAACGGGAAAATATGTACCTTCTGGAAGAACCCAAGGCCCATCATTTGCCATTTCCGCCTTGGTTTTATCCACTTTCTCTTTAATAATAGTTCCAATTATAGGAGACGCCCTAGCGGCCTTGAACAGACCCTTTTTGAGGCGTGATAAGAGGGGTTCTTCTTGAATAAGGAAGTTAAGGATTGCTTCAGACATAAGGGTTAAAGCGACAGTAATCAGCATCACCTGCAAATAGAAGATAATGAGTTACTTGACCTAGACACAATGTAATCAGTGATGTAAATGTGCAATTCACAGTAACGGTTATTCGCGTGTATTACAAATAATATACATTACACAACATTGTCGTCATGCCAGCGACACAATTAGCAACACAGGCCATATTCAGATGTACACTATTTTAGTATTACAACTAATAATACAGACGACTGTTTAAGTGTTATACCTGCCATATTTCGTACTGTTTAAATTCGTTATTAACAGTGGTCTTGAAGTGGGTGAAGTAGTCGTAGAGTACCAAGCCGATCTTGTTGAAATAAGGATTATCTGTCAAGATCAGGACGGGCAAAGGGTCCCTAGATGGGAGGGATTCGTCCCCGGACATGGCTAAAGAATGTGTTAGTTAACAGCTTCATATAAAAATAGTTGTCACTGTGCCAAATTGAATTGGTTAGCTCATATTCAGTGTAATCAGCTTTACGGTAGAAATGTGCTTTTTTTACACTAACAAGACGTAACAGTGACAAAATAAATTGAAATGTTACATCAACTCTGACACACAGTATCAAAACCTTTTCGAGTGTACAAAATAAACCCATATCGGTGAGCGATCTGAGATGTGGAAGTTCGACTGCCAAGTTATTTTGGCAGCTGAATGGGGCACTGGGGCAGATCAGATCATGTACATCGAATCACGTGATCTAAAACGCGCCATATCATACGCGCGCGTTTTTCACAATTATATATTTTGCATCGCGCCTTACGTCAAAGCTACGAGCGAGCGGACAAATTTCTATGAAAACCATGACCTACCTGTAACACACGATCGCTTTATATATAATAACTTATTTTCACACTTAATGTACAACATACACGAGTAGACCATAGTATGCATCGCTATCACATTAAATTTTATAATGAAAATATACTCAAATAGAATCATCGGGGAAATGTCTGCTATTAGTCTCAATCAAACTTATTAATTGCAATACTAAAATATTTTAAGACCGGCCCGCTTCCCTGATTTTATGTTTTATATTTAGCCAAGACTTATAAAGTCCTATTTATTAGTAATTAGAGCTAGTTTTAGTTTTTAATAAATAATGTATTCCAAAATCTCAACAGAAGCGACTTCTATTACCATCTCCTTCTACACGAGAGACAGCACATTGAACATAACACCAGCTTCTAATTTACAGTCAGCAGTATTGGCGTCATATAACAGAGGTCAGGGGTACTCTGCTTTTCATTTCAAGTGAAACAGCAAGGGTTACTATGCTTATCATTTCAAGTGAAACAGCAAGGGGTACTCTGCTTTTCATTCCAAGTGAAACACCAATATTATATTCAGCAACAGTATTATGTTCCCTGACACAAAATCAATTAGGTTGCCGACATAATCTACATCAGTATCAGTTGACAGCTAATCTATTGAATCATGGTGCATGTGGTATTTAACATACCACATTCAATTACCAAACCATTGAATTTAGGGCATCGAATTACAAATGTTGAGATACAAGAAAATATCTGTACAGATATGCACAAACTTTGTAACATTCACCAACCTTTAGTACTAACCTTTAGTATCGCCTTATCTTGGGAAACGAGTATCAAATATAGTGAGCGTGCTTATTGTCTACCAGCACCATTTCTGGCGTTTGAATGTTGCTTCAAAGGCGGTGACTTTTTTTGATCTGATAAATAAATAAATGGCTAAATATATAAACACAAAAACCGTCCTGTTTTCGTAGATAACATGTGTAAGCGATTTTGTATAGCGATTAACAATGTAAAGCGGATCGTGTTGGTTGGCTTGTCCTAACAGTTGATTTACTTACTTTACTTTACTTTACGTTGTTTAGCTGCAAGGCAGCAGGGTCATCTATGAAAACCACCCTTTTTCTTTAACTTCGGACAACCATGGCTGGCACCAGCACTTACAGGAAACCGAAGGATCGATAACTAAGGCCAGCAACGGTTAAGGTATTATACCACACTTTCCTCGCCCGTGGCTCCGCTGTATTGGTCATGAGCTTATTTATATTCTCAATTCGGCAGATGTTCTCTGACAGATAAATGCACTTTAAACAGATCAAACAAACTAACAGGTAAAGTGATAGAGAGACAATATAACTTATCATAAACGATAATTTTGTAATCTTTGGATTGATCTTTCTAACTCAAACCAACCTGAGAAGGGAAAACAGCTACTTGAAAGTGTTACATTACCAAACTGTACTTGAGGTCCCACCACAGTTGCCTTCCACGCTCATATGTCAAGCCACAAAGTTACGGAACTATGGGAGGAGCAGAATATATCAATCTCATTAATCTTGTGCGAACATGTATTAACATTTGACACATACACACACCAATGCACCAACTTCAAATTCAGCAGACGGCTGCAATAGCGAGAAATGTAGTATCTTGTGATCACAGGTTGGTTAGGGTTCTCAATTGAACGGCATATACGGACAGGAACAGAACTAGTATCAGATGTAATCTCTCTTTATCATGATACAGTAGTCTTTTAACGAAATGAGAGCTATACAATTCAAATTACCAATTAATTAGCTCAATTATCAATGCATACTCTTTCTTGTTAAACAAAATATGTGACACCTATTTTTTAACGTTGAGTCACTCAAGAATCACACTATAACATGACTAATATTGAGAAGCTATCCACATTTGAAGGTGTGCAGGAGGAAATTAGTTGTAAGAATCACTACTTACTACTACTACAACTACAGATAAATAGCAACATCTTATAGATCTTATATCTTATGAGTGTGGAACAGTACTCAGTATTTGGAGAAGAAAACTTTATTTATGCTATCTTATTACCCTCTTGTGGGTTACCCAGGTCCAACCTCTATCATAAAAAAAAGGGGGAAAATAGAAAAAAAACTTTACTTACTGATAATGTTACCTGGTGTCACAGCACGATGCGTCAACATCATTCTTACGTGTGTTCACATATCACTCTTGCTGTTTAATAGGACATTAATTATACACTGAATATTAGCGTCCACAATATTATTCTATACATTGTCATTGAGTATTCTATTAATGCGTTTTAATCAGATTAACCTTTATTGAATATTTTTTAATCTGATTTAATAAATGAGATTTAAATCTCGATGTGCAGACTTTAAAATTCAACAATCATCTTGATAATAGTAAATCACGTTGAAAAAATGTAAATCAAATATTTCTAAAACAAACAGTACACAATTTAAAATTTAAAGAACACAACTTCGTAAACAAAACTCAACTACACACTGCTACTACAGTAATAGTAAAACCTAACATTGAAGAATTAGCGAGTGAAATAATATCTCAGGATCAGAAATGTTAAAACATCTAAACGATAAGTAGGGATGCCAATCCCAATATTGTTTTCAGCCTACAAATCTACATATCTACATATACAAATCATAAAATGGATAAATTCGATAAATAATGACACACCAGGACACCAATACTCAGTAGCTGTGGCAAGTACCCTTAATAAATTAAAATTTTAAAATTAATTTTTAAAAACAAGAATTATCAGATCAATGTTTCCCCTAAAAACTTTCTTATGCTTTGAAAAGTCAGGTCTTCTAAAAATTTCCTCTTTGGCACCATATTTTCTCCAAGATCCAAAACTTCCTTGCAGATTATCCGCCGTCTTTCTGGATGTCGGTACCCAAACCCGATTACTTGTCCCCTACAATCTTTTTTTCTTCTTCAATGGTAGAGAACAAATTATTTGGATATTATATTAATTGAGTGATCGGTGATAAATAATAAAATTGTCTTTTTTTCAAAAAAGAGTAAATACAAACGATTTTTACAGTTTAATAATTTTAACCTCTGATAGAGCAGAATGGAATAAAATGTTTTACTATTAAATGTATCCATATTATTTTTTATATAGGCTACTTTAAATCAGATCTTTAAGATGTTCAATTATGTTCTATTTTTGATTTGAATAAAGGTATATGTTATATATTTCTCAAAAAAAGTGTCTTTTGTCAAAGCTGAGGATTTCTAGGGCGCCTTGTCAGAAGGACCTGCATCAGAACTCTGCCTCTCACCCTCTGTACTAGGCTGACTGACCGCTGCTTCTTCTTCTTTTGCACCATTTCCATCAGACATGAAGATATTGTTATTAAAGCCCCCTTGAAACATACCACTATTGAATGGTGTGAGTGGTATTCCAAACCCTCCGCCAGAAGCACTGTTCCCGCCAGAAGCACCATTCCCACTATGAGCACTGTTCCTGCTAGGAGCATCATTCCCACCTGGGTGGGGTCCAACCTGGCACATCACTGGGCTGGACCCAAAAAGGGAAGTGCCTCCATGGGGTTTAGGTGCTGAACCATCAAACAAAGAGCCTCGAAAAGAGCCAGTATTACTTGAACTTGGGTCAAGATTACCATCCTTATCATATCTGTAATTATGTGTACATTTAACAGACTTAGCAGTTCTAAGTTTTGGCTCCTTACCTTCTTTAAACAACACCTTTTTAGTGGGCGCTGCACCAAACAACCCACCCCCATTACCAGTGGCCGCTGCACCGAACATATCACCCCCATTTCCAGTGGGTGCTGCACCAAACATACCACCTCCATTACCAGTGGGTGCTGCACCAAACATACCACCTCCATTACCAGTGGGTGCTGCACCAAACATACCACCTCCATTACCAGTGGGTGCTGCACCAAACATACCACCTCCATTACCAGTGGGCGCTGCACCAAACAACCCACCTTGTGCTCCACTTGGAGCACTGCCAAATAGTGAGCCAGAGTTCCCCACCTGCGGAAAAGAAGCTGGAGCAGGATTCTTCTCCTCATATTCATGTGCTGTGTTTAATATATCCTGCAAGTTTATAGAGCTCATATCTCGTACTGCCAGACAATGCCCCTTTACAAATGGGTTAAGGGATCGGCTTGCAAACGTGGTGGCAATAAGAGCCTTCTTTATGTTTTCAGGAGTGAATGAATCCCAGTCAATTTTGTTAGCCGACACTTGAACACGGTTGTGATAATCTTCAAATGATTCAGCATAGCCCTGTGACTCTGACAACAGGGTGGCAAGCAGTAATAATGGTGGCGTGTCTTTCATTAATTTGTTCCTAATTAGTTTTATCATTTCCTCAAACAGGATAGGTTTGTCACTGATCAGTGAGTTTATGATGTCCCTGAGCTGAGGTCCGGCACAAAGGGACATGAGTTCAATCTTTGCTTTCTCTGTTTCTTGGTTTGTATTAGCCTCATTACATTGACCCCAGTCTACGACACAAAACTTTGATTTGAGCTCATTTACAAAGATGTCGAATTTTACAAGACGGTCTTTGCCCAATCCCCATGAAAACTCGAAGTTGGACTTCAGGAGCAGGTTTGTAAGATCATATGGCTTCAGCTTGTGAGTCATATTGTTACTGAGGATATAATTATTAATTAAATAGATTATCTTAAATCATATGGTTAGTAGTAAGTGGTTTGTAAATGGGCCATTGTTAGCCCCAAGCGTTTTGGTACCTCATTCCTGACACTCAGCATTGCCTACTGTAAAGTAGAAATTTTTCTAAGACAATAGAGAAACTGACCTTGTCTCACTAAATTCAACCACTTGCCATAATAAAAATGTTAACAACCAAATGATGCATTTTTAATATATACAATCACCAAAGAATATTTCCTCAAGTTTACTTCTAGTTAACTAATTTGTGGTAAAGGAATGTAAAATAAAAATTATTGTTTCATTGAAAACTTATTGTTTCATTGATTGGATTGCAGAATTCAAAAATAAATAAGTTTTGCAGATTATTAAAATTGGCAAATAATTGCGTAGTAATTTCTCGACACAAGAGGAGCAAGTTATTCCATATTGGAATAAACTCCCTCCGGACGTGAAGAACTCTGAAATGACAGTTCTAGGCTTTAAAATTAAATTAGAAGGATTAAAGAAAGATATGATTTCAAAAGTATTACAATTGATTGCTTTTTTTGGAATGTTTCAAATGAAGTTTTAGTAAGAATTGAGGGAGCCAGTTATGTCAGTAGTAAAGAGAAACATAACGATTATCTTTGGTTTCATCCTTATGTGGCAAAGATGCATTTTTAAAATCTTTATTCCACTGGGAAGTATGATTTAAATTAGGTTTTTTAAATAGGATAATGTTTCGATAAATTTTTAATAAATATTGTATTTGATAAATAATTGAAATTGGTGGGGAAATATTTATTATATATTTTTTTCACATTTTGCAGACATGTGATGTTATAAATTTTACTTTACTTTACAAATTTTACAAATAGTTCTGCTAGCACAAAGAAGTATTTGAACATCACCTCCTCTCCAAATGATTACGAATGAAATACTGGTATTTACTCTTAAGGTATCTACTCATGTTGACCACAATCCTTTCAGGTTTCGAATGATCTGAAAATAGGGGAGGGGGCAAGCCAACCCCATCGATGCCCATGTTGGGGGGGGGGTTCAACTACATTTTTATACATATACATTTGGCAAAAATCTGGTGGCCATGTATAAAAATGTAGTTGAACCCCCCCATGTTAGCCGACGATGTAAACTGAAGATGTCCTGCTGGTGTAAGACATTTTCAGATTTCAGCTTTCCTCATCCCAAATTGTCCCACTGTTTTGACTGAATTTCTTCAATGACCAATTTGTCAGTTCACTGTGTATGGCAGTTGGCACTAGACATGATAGAGGACCGTACTGAAAGCTCGATTGTGAAAGAAAACTTTGTTAATCGGAAAATCATCAGAAATTGACACTTTTAGATAAAATGTTAGTTCGATATGGCCACACCTGTTCAGTGATTTTTTCAATCGAATTCCGTCCAATTTAACATTTGCAATAATGCAATTGTAGGCAGTATCCAGATACCCCGAAAACGTGTTTGCAAACAGTTGTTACCAGATCATATGACCACATATCAATCATGAAATGGTATGAAATTGAATGGTATGTATGGTATCTTAGACTCTTCTGTCTACTAGACGAAATGAATGGACCCACGGCCGACCTAGAAAATGCTCAAGACTTCATATTTCACAAAGTCCTGTCCTGGGTGTAACGCAATATAAGTCCCTGATTCCCTGCTCGTCCTCGAAGTCTCCAGATGGACTGATATGGCACTGCCCCTGCAAGAAGTACAAGAATATCAGAACAGACAGCGTCTTCTCTGGACAGAAGCTCACTCTCAAGATCTTTTTACAACTGCTGTTCTGTTTACTGTTATTATGCAGTCATATGATCTGGTAACCATCATGTCACAAGTTGTTTGCAAACAACTGTTCGGGAACACCTGTTCGGGAACACCTGTTCGGGAACACCTGTTCGGGAACAACTATTCGGGAACACCTATTCGCAAACAGTTGTTCGGGAACACCTGTTCTCGAGCACATGTCGGGCTATCTGGATACTGTCCAATTGTAGAGTTCACATAGCCATGTGCCTACGCTTACTGCGTGACGCGCTTGTTTCCGGCGGTCGCGCGCTACTGCAAGCGAGAGGGCTCTGGTTAGAGCAAATTGTAGAGTATCGATAAAAGCCAATTTAGTATCATCCAATCACGATAAAGCATGATAAAACACACAATATAGAAATAATGTCACAATAACCCAAAACAACCCTTCAAAAACTCAATATATTCCCTATCTTAAATAATATAATGGGAGAAACATTTGAAAAGTGTGTCAAACAGTATATATACATTCAATTAAATCAAGTGATGCAATTGGCAGAGCACAATAAAATTTTAAGTGTTGCAATTTGCTTTGAAAGTAAAATTGGCTTTGAAAGTAAAAGAGATAAATACTTCCAGTTTTTAGCAAAACGATCGCCTTATAAAAATAACGTTTCCCAAGGAGAAAAATTAGAAACATCGTAGATTTTGAGTTATTTCGAAAAGTATGATTTTGAGCCGAATAAAAGGTCGCAGCTTTATTCACCTAACCATGTGCTTTCGCGCCACTGCGTGCGCGTTTGTTTCACAAGTAAAGAAAAGTTTTTACCGCCGGGAGGCGGGCGCGAGCCACTGCAAGCGCAAAGGCTCTGGATAGAGCTTGACCATTGTTAATGGTCTGGCCCGGCGCGCGCTACTTCGTAGCACTTGCCATCGCGCGCTACTTCGAAGAAATTTAGACGAGTAACATCCGTCAAGATAGAGTAAGCAGCTTTATAACTTTGCAAATTAATGTGGTTACTTCAACTAGCCATCTGCCATGAGTCTACGCGTAGTACGTGACGCGCTTGTTTCACTACAAGCGAGAGGGATCTGAATAGAGTAATGTGATTGCACCATGACTCCATTTGTCATACGTTGTATGACCCGCCGCGCACGAGTGCGCGGCTCCCCCTGTATCGTCAGGAAGATAAAGGGGTGAAACGACCGTGGGAGTCACGACGTGATACAAGACTCCATGGATGAATTCAGATTGTAACTCGCGTCCTGAGCAGCGAGCTTTACTTCACGCTCGACAACAAACAGGCTATTGAAAATGATCACCTAGTAACACGGCCAGCCAGTAAGGTTTTTTGGGAAAACATTATGAATACTAATTGTATCACGTTGTGACACCCACGGTCGTTTCAGGGGAGCCGCGCACTCGTGCGCGGCGGGTCATACAACGTATGCAGTATGACAATTGAATAACTATTGAAGAGGATTTCATTTCATATTAATGAAAATACATGAAACATAGTTTATTATTAAATTACAAACTGAATAAATAATTGAACGTTTATTGCAATATTGCTCTAACCAGAGCCCTCTCGCTTGCAGTAGCGCGCGACCGCCGCTTGTGAAACAAGCGCGTCACGCAGTACGCGTATACACATGGCTATGTGAAATTGCAATATGCAACAATATTTTTAAAAACTGTAGTTTTGTAAAAATATGACATTATTTGTTTCAGTGCTCAATTTTCTGACAACTCGCGAACAACTCGTTTTTTAATGTGAGCCTTTTTTCGGAGCAAAATAATCTAAAATCACAAATATTAAATATTTATTTCAGGTAACTTTATAGTAAACTCTGATATGACAGAGGTTAACATTTTACAAAGTTGACGATATCTTTGTGACAGGTAGGGGTTATAATAGCTTATAATTCCTTGCTTTGAAGTGATCAGATTGCACCCTGTTTGCTGTTTGACTCAGAACAAATACAAAAAAGGGACCATGTCAGTGTATCTACAGTGCAGATACCTTTGGGAGGTCATGATGATGATGATGAAAATCTAAAATATATGGCTACAATGAGCAAATTTGTAATTGTCTATCCATCACAATCTGATTAGCTAGTTGTTACTTTACTGGTGACACGTATCCTTCTGGTTGTGATTGTCGATTTATTGCTATATTGCACTGCTACTTTTGCTGAACTTGTTGAGACAATTTCCTTATCTTCTACTGATTTTGCTTGACTGCAAACTGTGCCATTCCTGATAAAATAATGTTCGTTTTAGGCTATCCATTGTCGGTATGAAATCTTTTATCTAGATAAACAGATAACGATTTAGGTTTTATGTAGATAAAACCGATAATTTTTCTGCTGAAGTTAAAAGCCAAAATTTTACTAGATCTAATGACTGTTATCACTGTTTAGTGTTTACCAGTAAACTTGGTACAGCACCATTTCTTTTCTTTTGAAAATATCAGAGCACTAGTTTCCTTCTCCTGACAATAGGAGTGAACATTATCCAGGAAATAGTAAAGCATCAGATTTCTTCTCCTGAGAACAGTAGAGCATCGGCGAATTGCTTCCTTCTCCTATGATTATTATTATTAAATCTAAAATAGCTAATAATTTGATTAATTATTAACAGGCATCTTAACGTGGGCAAACATACGCTCTATAAATTATATAAACAAATTCAAGTCTACTTTTCCGATTTTGCTAATTGTCTCTGTTTCGGTCCTTCGTGGGAGTTCCCACATCTGCTGGTTGAGAATGCTCAACATTATAACATCATGATGCTTATGCTTATGATCTCCTGTGAAAATTTACTAAAATTTCCATAAAATTTCACTGTATTGCGGCAGTATTTTCGGTAATTTTTATACCGATAAAAATTCATTTCATCTAGATAATCAGATTGGCAAATTATTGGAGATAGTTATCGGTTACGATTATCGGAGTGGATAGCCTAGTTCGTTTGGAATTTCTCGAGCTTTCTCTCTCAACTCTGCTACCAGTTTTGAGAGGTCAAATAAATAAGAAATAAGAATCTTTTCTTTATAGGCAACTTTGTTCATGGTCGTATGAGCTATCAGCTAATCACCAGTCAAATTGGCGATCAGATGTATTCAGGAATATTATAATGGAAGAGAAAAAAATAGAGTCCACTGCTCTTGATAGAGCTTTAAAAAGGCGTTTTTCACTGCTGGAAAAGACCAGGATTCACAGGTTCAGAACCAATATAACTTTATTGAAAAGTTTTGCATTGCAAAGTTTTGAAATTGTACTTATCTACTAATCATCAATTTTTTAAAGAAAATCTTGAAGATTGCTGTTTCAGAATTGCTGAAAGATGCTTTCAATCAGATGAACCTCCGGTTCGAGAACGTAGATTTATTGTCAAAGGCTTGGGAGACACTGAGCGTCCAATAAATATAGCTAAGAAGGTAAATTTTGCTGATTGAAGCTTTTCTCTCTGCTCTGGTAGTATATGATATTAATATGTAGTAAAGCATTTTTGTTACTTTTTAGATAGGTCTAGAGACTATACATGCAGCTGGCATAACATTTGATTACTTTTCAGGCAGATGTTGCAAAAGTAACTTATCACCCTATCGATCCTGAGGTTATACGGAATTACAATACTTGGCTTGCTGAGAGAAAAACGTTGAGAGAAGATTTAAACCAGTTAGGAAATTACACTTCATGGATTCAAGGTACTTCCCGGACATGGGCAATGTTTTAACGTTTCTGTCATATATATAGAAACGGTTAATCGGGTTTTGAGGTTTAAAGGCCAGAAAGGAGGGGGTGGTAAAAATTATTTTTGTTTTAACATTATGTGTTAGAGATGAACTTAAATTTGAGGTTTACCTGTCATTACACATGTAAAATATAAACTTAAACTCAGAAAAGGTAAGTACCTGAACTTTTGGAAAAGACTGACCACATTCAGGAGACTTGACACAGCTGTTCCTAGGGCTGTTACCCACAATCATCATCATTTACAGAATTTTGATATTTGCCTCTGTTCTTGAAATATGAGGTTAATGAATTTTCATTATTTGGGTTACAGTTAACCGCTTATATCTGTTCTAGTCATCTGAATTAAGTTTTGGGGAGGGTTTATATCCAGTACTATATATGATATATAGAATTATGAAAGTCACCACTTTTCTCTCTCAAGGAGAATAATTTTAACAAAGTTGTAGGTCAAATAAGACAACATCGTTCCTCATAAACCCATCAAAAAATAAACTGCAATTTTTCAAAATTAAATTTATCAAAATTAAATTTAAAAATTATTGAAATATTGTTACTGGTGTAACTGACGATTAATCTAATTTATCCAGAAAGCCTATCTAACATTAAAGCAAAAAGGAAGTCGAAAATATTTGTTCGGTATTCCGAGAAAATCTGAGGTATTGCAAAAATCTGAGAGCTTAAAAATAAAAGTTTAAAAAGGCATTCTGATTCGAATCAATCTATTATATTCGAAATTTTAAATTTGTTGTCATTAACATCTTCTGGTATTTTCTGTATAACTAGATCATAGCAGTTCTAGATACAATATAATGTCTTTACTGTCAAATCTCAATAGACAAAATTAGGAAACATTGGAATTGATCAAATTGATTGCACAGAAAGGTGTTCTGTTAAACTATTGGTATGGTAGTGTTTGTTATAATATATATGAGTTATAATATATATGAGTTCTCGGATGTTATTAGGTTCCTTCTGGCTTTCTGGGATGTTAGGTTCCTTCTAGGATGTTAGGTTCTTTCTGGGATATTGGGTTTCTTCTAGGATGTTACTGTTAGGTATCTTTTAGGATGTTGTTAGGTTCCTTCAATTGTGGGATGTCGCAAGGTTCCTTCTAGAATGATGTTAGGTTCTTTCTGGCTTTCTGGGATGTTAGGTTCCTCCTAGGATGTTAGGTTTCTTCTGGGATATTGGGTTTCTTCTAGGATGTTAGGTATCTTCTAGGATGTTGTTAGGTTCCTTCAATTCTGGGATTTTGATAGGTTGCTTCTAGGATGTTAGGTTCCTTCTGGCTTTCTGGGATGTTGCTAGGTTCCTTCTGGGATGTTGTTAGGTTCCTTCAATTCTGGGATGTTGCAAGGTTCCTTCTAGGATGTTGTTAGGTTCCTTCTGGCTTTCTGGGATGTTGCTAGGTTCCTTCTGGGATGTTGTTAGGTTCCTTCAATTCTGGGATGTTGCAAGGTTCCTTCTAGGATGTTGTTAGGTTCCTTCTGGCTTTCTGGGATGTTGCTAGGTTCCTTCTGGGATGTTGTTAGGTTCCTTCTGGGATACAAGCTACTGAGTACTGATGACCGTTTTCAAGCTGTCATTTTCTGTTTGCAGATATGATCATCTTCTGAGTCTTGCCGATGCTCTGAAATATTTGAACGTAATTAATTACGTGGGTATATATTTGTAATCGTTGAGAATGATATTAATTCTCGTGTGCAATGGCTCCCATTAAAAACATACATAACGAAATGTATCAAAGTTAATAGATTCTCGAGTTCATGCTATTAATCTTTTTACATCATTTAGTTATTATAATTTTGCTTCCTCTTTCATCATTATGATTAAAAACTCACACAGATAAATATGCTTCCGTTTGTCTGAAAGCTCCAAGGCCGATTTACGAGATGAGGGTTTTCCGAGTTATGGTGAAGTCGATGTTCCCTTTTGAGCAGCAACCCTGAGGGGTTGACATTACGTCACTAGTCACTACCTAAAACTTACAAATTATCAGCAAAATAACCTAAATACATAATATTTTTCGAGAAGCTGCCAATAAAGTGTTTGTTTTATTATTAACTTATTACTCACGTACTTTTAAAGTAGTGTTGGCTTTGGTCCGAGTTTTCAAACTACTGGCTGACCGTCGCTCGCCAATCCTTTTCTCGCTGAAATAATCAATACAATTTCTAAGATTGGTCATTAAAAAATCTGACATTTAAAAAATCACATTTATAGCGTTTCATTTCGATGGTTTGTGGTTAAAAATGTACTCTAAAAAATGTACTAAGTGCAAACTTACATTTAAACTTTATAGATACTCGGTAGACTAAGTTCAGTGTTCATATTAATTATTATATGATGTAATTTCTCATTCTTTTTTTCCTGAAAACACAAAAGCTTTAAAGTTGATCGTCTTTACATTCAATGTTTTAATTGCAGCTGCGTAATTTTCCGAGAAGACGTAAATCTCGAGAATATCTCTGGAATCTTTTGTTTTTAAAATTATAGATTCAATTAAACGCTATTTAACTTCCGTCGTAAGCCGAAGATACAAATGGTATTGATTATACAATTGATGATTATTGAACCAGAATTACTTACAGTATTTTTTCTTCGATAAGAGCGTCTTATTTCTTTGTTTGTTTCTCTCAAATGACTCCATCCCTAAATGGGTGTGTTACTGAGTAGGAAGGTTAAAAGATTATAAGTTTACAATTACTTAATATTCGAAACGAAGATATTGATCACGTGGAATATTTTGGATCATTTCATAAACAATAAATTAGTATTTTATATTATCAAGCCACATGAAATTTACAATAGCTGCACTGGTCTTGAAGTGAGCTAGAATTACGGTCCTTCGGGACCTATCACACAGAAATTTGGTAATAAGAGTTTTGATTAGGATTACCTCATACTGAAGAACCGATTCTGGAGGAGATATAATGGAGAACTGAGAAGGGTCTTTTGTGAATTCTATCGCTTGCTTTCCGACCTTGCTTTCCGACCTTGCTGCTCTGAAATTTAACAATTCAACAACTCATTATTTTGAATAAATAAATCAGAGACCTGCACCATATTTAAGGTGATAATCTGGTTGATCTCTGTCAAATAAAATTTCAGTCGAGTATGTTCTCTTTCAGAGACTCTTCAACTTACCTTTCTTTGTGCGTTTATTTCCATCTACAGTCGGGAGGGGGGCCGGGGGGGGGGGGGGGGGGCCGGGGGGCTAACTGCATGGACTACATGACATTGGGGTGGTAGTGTACCATAGTGTGGATTGTTTCTGTACTACTACTCAAAGGTGTATCCAAATTTTTTGTAACGTAAATTCTGAGCAGCATTAATTAAAGATACGAAATTAATTTCATTGATGTGAGACACGCATTTAGATGTTAAGTGGGTGGTTCTACTGTAATGATATGGTACCAACAGTTTAAGGTCGGACCCTAAATGTTCATGTTCGGTACATGAAGGATCAAAATTATAGAACAGTTTTAAATGTATTAGGCTGATCATGTGTTCCATGCATTAAGATCCTTCCCCTTCCTCTCCCTCCTCTGCCTATGGCCACTAGTCAATTCTACAATCTTTGTTCCTGTGTCCTCAGGAACCTTCCTGGGGATTGGAAATTATTAAAGATTAAATTTTTCCAATTCTGGCAGTTATCACCTCATCTATGCACTTTTTATCAGCCAGTAAGAGTAAATAACGCATTGAAACTTGAAAGTATATTTAAGTAAAATATCAAAATATAAGTGAGTACTCCCTGTACAATTATAATCTATACGTACTGCCATTAATTAAACTTTTTCACGCGGTTGAGTTGAGACGAGAGTTTCCTATTCTGAAGCTGAAAATGAAAGGTTTTAAAATCAAGATATTAATCATTTAGTTTGGTAAAAGTTATAGTCATGGATGTAGCTTCAGTTAATGCCACAGTATTTCGACACTCCATTATTCTAATAACTAGATAACAGTATTTGAGGATAGTGTACTAGAAATAATAAACATTTCCTATACATTTTATGATCTGAAATAGAAGGGAGTAAGGATGGAACTCTAATAGAAATGTAATATAAACCTTGAAAGAACTAATTCATGGCGACAGATTGGAAGGATCCTTTTTGAACGGTCTTCTGTTCTTTTTAGCACGCCTCGTTGCTCTGAAATTAAAACTTTCGTCATTAATATAATTCAACTAAAGTATTATCAGCAGTAAAACATTGTTAATAGGGCATGAGGTTTTAGGAAATCAAATTTACAATATGTTATGTTAAATTATATGTACGTTATATTAAATATGTACGCTAATATTATTGACAACGATTTAACTTTTAGAAGAAAAAAAACATTATTATATATAGCCTATGGTGGAGGGTTCGTCATTCATCAAGTTGCTTTCTGCGTAGAAATTCCTGCTTCATTATTAATTGTTATATACCTGAATTCGAGTGTTAACTACAGATACTGTCCGAAATTATCATTGAAGTTGAAGCTTGCAAAGGAGTTATTTAAAAGGGTAAATACATTTCAAAAAAATATATATTGAGCAGATATTCATCTGTCACGTTTTCTTGTAATATTTTAATTAGTTGATATCTAAGTTAACGGTAGAGACTTGAGAAGAACCCAAATTTACCTTCAACCCCAATTTCAAAATTTTTGTCCAAATTCGGCGCAGTGGGCGGTCAATATTTGGCGACAATGCAGCGAATTAAAATGCACACGGGTAATTCCGTAGTTATCGTGCAGTAAACCATGGCAACCCTGACTGTAATGTTGTTATTTTACCCAATTTACACGTGGGCGGCATACACACATACACGAAGACGCCTTTGAATTATAATGGAGATTACTGATGGAGATTTTTATGTACATAGTACAAATATTATTATTATTATTTACCTAGGCTGAAGCAACAAGGCTCTTTTAAGAAGGTGAATTCTGTCCCCGCTGTGCA